ATATATATATATATATTTTATTATTATATATTTTATATAATTTACTATTTACTTTGGCAATTAGAGCATTATATAGCATATAGTGATTATTGCTATACATAGTTGTGACAATAAAAACACACAATAGATCTGATTCCTAATGTTAACAATAGTCTGGTTTTATTCATTACCGAGAGCCCCTTGGCAGATGTCTGTCCTTGTAGCACCATCGACTATAAACTGAGGATTGGACATAAGTTGCTGTAAAAAATAAAAAATAGAAAAGAAGAATGAGTACAATGAAACTAAAATAAGAAAACTTAAAATGTGCTTGCTTGCCATGTGTGTGTGCATGTATGTGTATAGCAAAAATTGCACATGTGAACTCACCTGCTATGCCTTGTGATTAACATTCATATCATGCATTAAACTTTAAATGCATTAAAGGAGAACTATGGGGTTAAGGCTTTTCCCCATAGTTCTCCTTTAGGGTAACGGGAGGACACAAACTAGCGTCCTCCCGTCACCCTCAGCTCAGTATACCGCGAAGTACAGCTCGCGGTATACTGAGACGCCACAGTATAGCGCGAGCTACTGCTCACGGTATACTGAAACGCCGCAGCTGAAGTGGATCCCGACAATTATGTCTGGATCCGCCCAGCTGCGTGAGTGACAGCTGGCTCTGCCTATCTAGAGGCAGAGCCAGCTGTACCCGCCCCCTCCCCGTCCGTTCCGCCAGTCAGCGCTGGCAGATCGGAGCTGGGAGGGCGGAATCCAGCCCCTCCCGTCACAGCAGAGAGCCGTGACAGGATCGAGAGGTGAGCGAACGCCAGTATGTGTTCGCTCACCTCCCGATCTACTGAGCCGACCTGTGACAGTCTCATTGCCACAGGTCGGCTAGAACTATGAGGTGAGTTAAAAGCACTCACCTCATAGTTCTCCTTTAATGCAAAAACACAAACAATTCCACTGAACCACAATCACATATATTTCTTGGATGTCTTTGTCCACATTTCATTCTGCCTTCCTAATATCTCCCATTGTAGTCACACATGCAGGAGCACTATGCTCAGAAACTAGTACACTGCTTTTTTTACTACACCCCTCATCCCTAATGTAATTCCCACATCCCTGCCCACCTCTCTTCTTTGCCAGCCTCTCCTAGAGCCTGGAGCCCAGCTGCCTGGCGCAAGGCATTGTGGGAGATGGCCAGGATCAAGGTGACCCAGAAGTAGGGCTGCAACAACTAATCGACATAATCGATTATAATCGATTATTGAAAAAGTTGTCAGCGGAATGCGGAATACCACCAGCTATAGAGGACTACAACAAATCCCAGCAATAGTACATTATAAAGTGGTACAATGCTAAATACCACCAGCTATAGAGGACTACAAAACCCAGCAATAGTACATTATACAGCGCAATGCAGAATGCCGCCAGCTATTATGTACTATTGCTGGGATTTGTTGTATTCCTCTATAGCTGGCGGTGTTCTGCATTGCGCTGTATAATGTGCTTTTGCTGGGTTTTGTAGTCCTCTATAGCCGGTGCCATTCTGCATTCATTGCTGTATAATTTTACACTTTCCATTTCACTATATTGCACACCACACTATCTTTTTTTTCTTTTTTACTTCCACCGCTCCAAGCTTGCTCCTGTGATGGACTACAACCTCAATACAAACTAGTAGTCCTATCACTGGAGCCATTTTTTAAACTTTATTATATTGTTTATCCGATTAACCGATTAATCGAACTTAATAATCGGCTAACTAATCGATTTTGAAAATAATCGTTAGCTGCAGCTCTACCCAGAAGCACATAACACTAACAGAAGTTGCTACAGGGAACAGGCAGGGATATGCAGTGTTTAGTAACTAAAATAAGGATATTTTAGAACATAGTAACAAAGCCTTTTTATGTATTGCACAATGCATGTTCCAGACATTCCAACTCTCCCGGACGTTCCGGGAGTCTCCTGCTATTAGATAGCGGCTCCCGGCCGTCCTGAGAGAGAAACATTATTTCCCGGAAAGGTTTATTCTGCTCTATCTAGCAGAGTAAACCTTTCCCTGCTGTCTGGTTTGTTTATTTCTGACATCAGGGCCGCCGTAAGTCAGAGAAAAAAAAACAGCATTGGAATTAATAGCTAGATTGCTATTGGCTATTTCAATTTGCAATAGCCAATATCAGACTAGCTATTGCACCTGCCCACTGCTGCTGTCAATCAGCAGAGGTGAACCTGAAGTTCTCCATCAGGTCCTCCTCTGCTGATTGACGACAGCGGAGGCCGGGTGCAATAGCCAGCTTGCTATTGGCTGTTGCAAATTGAAAAAGCCAATACCAATCTAGCTATTCATTCCAATGCTGTTTTTTTTTTATGCTGACGGCAGCAGCTGTCAGAATACTAAAATATTTTAAAAAACAGCAGATAGCAAGGGAAGCAATAGCTTCTTTGCTATCTGCCATCATTTCAGGAGGGGGCAGAGGGCACCTCCCTGAAATGAGAAGGGCACCTCCCTGAAATTATTTTTTTCAGGTAGGGATCCCTGATGGTCTGAATACCTAATATGATGCTGGGGCCTTTAGATCTCCTATAAGTGATGTACTAATTCAACATGGTTCACCATAAGGAAATACATTAATGATTATTTTACTGCTTTCAGCTATTATAACATTTGGCTGAGAAATTCTCACAAATCTTCATTAGCAATTACTTATGACTAATGAATCCTCTCGTAGATCATAAACACACTTATGCAATAGTAGGCAGGATGCTGCTTTACATAGAGTGACAGTTCTAGTTTATCTACAACTATCTGATGGGAAACAAAAAGTTGGCAGTGTGCAGTTGCTAAATGTTCTAATGCATCTTATCGGTCATCTCTGCTCAGATAGTTGCTTGTCGATATAGATTAACCATAGCATGAAAGTCTGACTATAACGGACTACAGTGTATATCTGTATAAGGAACTAAAGCAGAGTGCTGGCGGATACACACGACTGCAAAAGGAACTTTATTATATCTATTTAATTTGGCTGTTACAGGTAACCATTCCTCTTTTATTCAAGTTTTGGTAGCCCAATCCCTGAGCATACAAATGAAAAGAAAAATAGAGTGTCTTCAGAAATGTTAAATTAACTTCCATGTGTTAAAACATGGATACTACATGTAGAAAACTGTTGAGTTACCGCCCAAAATCACACAGTGGCTTACATGCACATCATCAGAGCTGCAGGCTATAACTAGATCTTCTGTATTACTTTACTTGACATGCTGAGACTTATCACAGCGAGAATAAATATGGTATTTTTGACCAGTCTTTGTTAATCAACAGTACAGAGGCCTAGAATTAGTAGAAAGATGCAGGAAATTCCTATCTAGAGTTAAATTAGTACTATGAGGTGACTGATTTTACTCCTCATAGTTAGAGCCGACGTGTGACAAAGAAGCTGTCACAGGTCGGCTCTATTGATCGGGAAGTGAGCAGAAACATGCAGCCGATCCGCTCACTTACCGATCGTCTTTCTGCATTGAGCTGTGACTGGCAGTCACCGCTCCCCGCAGGGATTTAACCCCCCCCCAACCCCCGCTCCTCTGATCCTCCAGCCGCTGAGTGGAGGAACGGAAGGGGGAGGGGCGGGCACAGCTGGCTCTGCCTCTAGATAGGTGGAGCCAATTGCCACTCATGCAGCTGGGTGGATCCAGACAGTATTGTCAGGATCCGTCCCGGCTGCGGCGCTCTCAGTATATCGCGGGCAATAGCTCGCCATATACTGAGCTTTGGGTCACGGGAGGAGGTTAGTATATGTCCTCCCGTGACCCTAAAGGGAACTATGGGGAAAAACACTTACCCTGTAGTTCTCTTTTAGGAGTCCTTTTTCTGACATGCAAGCCATTGATGGAAGATCTACACAATGCCTAAAAAAAATTCTACACCCTAAAAGGTGCACTACACACTTTGCATTGCCATGGACTTTACCTCAAGTCAGTCCAATATTTACACAATGGAAATATCCCCCTTCTGTGGGGAAAAAGAAGCAATACTTGGTATAGAACTTGTGATCACAAAAATTATTTCGCTTTTCTCCCCATACAAAAAGTGTCTGGAAAGGGCTTGATGTAATATAGGAGGTCAGAATCACCTAGGAAGTAACTAAGATTGTTCTAAGAGGTGTCTAAAAGAGATCCTAAATGAACCTGAAAGCATGCTTCATTCACCCATGTACAGAAAATATGGCACTGTCAGTTTTTACCCCTTAGTATATGATGATCTCAAGTGATGCTGCAATCCATTGGCCAGTCTGTCCAATCCAGTAGCCAGTGGGATTTGTTTGGGAGCCTCTCCATGACAACAACTAGAGAACACCTTAAAAGTCAGACGCCAGATGTAATTTTTAAGGAACACTGGCTACCTGGTCTCCCGGTGGCAATAGCCGCCGGGAGTCTGTTTAAACAGCCCCGATGCTGGCGGCGTACACTGTACGTCGTCAGTCACGAAGGGGTTAAGCTGTATGGAGTTATACATTACAATATACTGTACAGTATATCATGGACCATGTGTATTGTTGTCCATAATGTTAAATACATCTACACTAGGGGTGCCCACAATTTTTTGTGTTAAGATCTACTTTTCAAATGACGAGCTACATGAGATCTACCAACGGAAAAAAAAAAAAACCTCTCTCCTGGCTGTCTTTCCTCACTCTCATGGTTGTCTCTCCTTGCTCATCCTCCTGGCTGTCTTTCCTCTCTTTCCTGGCTGTCATTCTTCATTTTCTCTCCTGGCTGTCTCTCTTCGCTCTCTTGGCTGCCTCTCCTTGCTCTCTCCCCTGTCCGTCTCTCCCAGCTCTCTCTCCTGGCTCACCTTGCTGTATTTTGCAAACAGTGCAGTGCAACAGGCTGTGTAAACTAATATTCTTTGATGTAATACATAGAACTTCAACCACCAGTATCCACCAGAAAGGTGTCAGGGAGCTTGGCTCAGCAGACTCAAGCTAATAGGTAATCATGTGTGCACAGCTAAATAAATATACCAAAATGGAATAAAGGGGCCGCCATTCACACCCTTCGTGATCTACCAGCATCAGCTTTGAGAGCTACTGGTAGATCACGATCTACCTAATGGGCACCCCTGATCTACACAATCCCTATGTCAGGGCTCGACAAATGGGCTTTTGTCTGCCTCCTCTGCTGTCAAATCAGCTCTGCCCCGTTCTCCTCCCCGCTGGGAGCCTGCAGTATGCTGCAGTCTGTGT